AACTATTCTGCAAAAAAAAAAAAAAGAAAGAAAAAAAGTGTCCTTCTAGAGACCCCCAGTAGGGGAGAGAGAAAAACACAGGACGGAAAGAATATAAAAAAGAAGGTAAGCCACTGCTCACGTCACTGGGGTAGAGGTAAGAGAAAGGGGAGAGGCCCCTGCCTGTGAAAGGTATTTGAGAAATGCTGCTGAAGTGATCTTCTCATCAACAAAAAGGAAAGACCAAGGGACTTGAAAACCTGATTCAGCAAGTGCCTCATATGTACTCTCGAAGGTATTGGTCTCTTCTCGGTCTCTGTGTTTTATGATGATACTAGTAGCAATTTTGGATTTGGAAGGGACCTGAGACACAGTGGAATTCAACATACCTCTTAAAAGAAAAGAAAAGAACCTTAAACCCAGAGGAATTAAAGTGACTTGAAAAGGAAAAGAAAGTGACTTGTTTGCCATCATTTAGCAAAAGACCTTCAATCCGAATCTCCCAATAACCAGACCAGAGCCTTTTCCTGTTGTACTCTGCAACCTTGAAATCAGGAGAGTTGGGATAAGAATTGCACTCTAGCCTAAGGAGAACAGGGAGAGGGGAAATGCCATACGCAAAATCCATAAAAACTTAAACAGCTGTTTGTCATTCTTAATACATGGTGACAGACTCAACTAATCGAGTAGTCTCTTCTTTACGTGTCCCATTTAAGAGCTAGCAAATTTTATGTGTTTAATACATATGAAGCCTTCAACTACTTTGAGCATAACAAAACCTTAGACGTGTTTCCTAAGCCCCCCACACCAATGAATTTGTAGTTTTATAAATACCCTGGTGAACAAGAAATGCTGTCTTGTCATATTCAAGCCACATAACAGCTGGACTTTAAAAATAAAATTTTGAAGGCATTTGCCTTTTATATTTTTAATTTCTGTTTTCCTGGCTTATCGTTTTGTCATTTGATTTTGATGAGTGGTTAATACACATGCACAGCTGCCTGTTTTGGTGACCTTTCCCTTGCTGCTTCCATGCTCAGAGCTACGGAGCAGGTCCACAAGTTGCTTACTAAGTGATATTGGCGTTTTCGTGACTGGCAGACATTTTCCAGGAAAGCCGGGCTGGAACGGGGTGTTATCTCCTAGGCTGACTTTATGTTAGTCACCTCAGAAGCCCCTCAGGAAGATGGTGTGAAAGTGGAGGGAGGACATAGGCCCTTAAGACTGCTGTTCTGCATTATTCACAATAGCCAAGACATGGAAAGAACGTAAGTGTACATTGACAGATGAATGGATAACGCAAATATGATATAGATACAGTAGAACGCGATTCATTCATCAGAAAGGAAATTCTGCCATTTGCAACAACATGCTTGAAGGCATTATGTCAAGTCAAATAAGTCGGGCAGGAAAAGATAAATACTGTATGATCTCACTTATGTGTGGAATTAAAAGAAGCCAAACTCACAGATCAGAGTAGAAGGGTGGCTGCCCTGGGCAGAGGTGGGGAAAGTGGACAGATGTTGTTTGAAGGGTACACACTTCCAATTGTGAGGTAAGTCACCTCTGGAGACCTAACGTGCGGTATGATGACATAGTTAACAATCTGCACTATACATATGAAAATTGTTAAGGGAGTAGATTTTCAATTTTCTCACAAAAAAAGATAATTATGTGAGGTGATAGATGTGTTGACTGACTTTCTTGTGGCAACCATTTTCCAATATATTTGTGTACAAAATCATCACATTGTACACCTTAAATTTATAATGTTCCATATCAATTATATCTCAGTAAGGCCAAAAATTAAAAAAAAATTTCTGTCTGAAAGCCAGGGGAAATGTGGATGTGATCAAGCACCGACTGTGAAGGGACGATGTCCTGGGCTACGGCCATGGCGCTCACCTGTTACGTGGGCTCACCTGGGCAGCCCTCACTCGGTGCCTGTGGGGCCGAGAAGGCTGGGTCTCTTCAGAGCTTTTCTCAAGGATAATTGTGTCTGTCTGTCTGTCTGTCTATCTGTATGCATTTGCCTTTAAATATTCTGCCTTCCTTCACTAGAGTTTCAACTCCAAGCGGTCAGGAACATATGTGTTTTGCTTCCTCTGGTTTATTCAGTGTCTAGTTTGGGACCGGCATACAGTAGGCACTCCAGAAGTAATTGTTTGTTTGCTTGCTTGCTTGCATGCTTTTTAGGACCACAAACTGATAGAAGGCATTTATAAATTTTTTAGTTATTCTTTCGCTTTAGTTCCTTCTTACTATTCCTGCTAAGGGACAGGAGCAAAGTGGAACAAGGATTATGAGTACCTGTTATCTACCCTGACTTTAATAGGAACTGTAACTCCAGCAGGATTTGCAATCAGCTTACACTTGAAAAGATGCCAGGAAATACCCTGAAGTCAGCAGAAGGTTGCTACCCATCCCCACAGTCGCAGTCCTCACAAAGGCACTGCGCTGCTGTTGGTATCACAGCACGTAACCTGACTCCATTCATGAACTCACAGCCCCCAAAAGCACATGAGGTCTCAATGGCAACCCTGGGCAGGCTGCTGAGGGGAGGTTTGCACAGTCTCCTTAAGCTCCTGGGCCACGATGGCCCTTCTACGATTACACTTATCAGGCATTGCTGCCACATGCGACAGAGGAACAGGAGAGCTGGGTACGGCGTGACTTGCTATATTTAGGGGAGAGGAAATGGGCCGTTCTGAGGAAGGTCACAAGAAGTTAGTTCAGGGAAGTGAAGGCACCACATATTTCTCTGTGCATACAGGGCGTGCAGTATAGCACAGTATTTATCGAGCATGGGGGCCGGAGCGAGGCTGCCTGGGATCAACTCTCAGCTCTGCATTTGTTAGCTGTGTGACCCAGGGTCAGTTACTGCTTTGCTCTCAGCCTTGATGTTCTCCTCTATAAAATGGAGAAGTAATAATGTCTTCTTTACAGAGCCCTATGATGTTTAAACCTAAGAATGTATGTTTAAAAACTCAGCGCATTCTCTGGCACGTAAGAGCTTGATAAATGTTTGCCCCCACTCCCCTCCAAAAAACAACCAGAAAGTTGGTTTGAATCCAGACAATCTGGTATTCAGTGGGATTTCCAAAGATATTTTTATACAACATGTTTTTCTATAGTTAGGGTTTTCATTTTTTTCCTTTCATAATGGTTAAGAACGCTGACCATAATCTTGAACTAACCCAGAACATAATATCATCAACTAGATTATTAGTATTATTAAAAGGTAACTTACTATCTTCGTTATATAGTAAAACACCAAATGAAGAGGGATAAGTGACAGATTAAGAAAACTCTATTAGAACAAGAATAAAGATAGAACTCTTAATTCCTAGTTTATTGAAAAATGACCAGACTGAATACTTTAACATGATGGAAAATATTATTTCATTGTGTATGGTCAAAGATTTAGTTACTTTTCGGTATAATCATCCAACCAAATTGAGATGGGCCAGGCCTGACTATTGGTTCCCTAGGCTAAGGAACCTCAATCCTCACTAGAGAAAAATCTGCACTTCTAAGTGCCTATAAAAATGTGATTGTCCTGGCTGGTGTGGCTCAGTGGATTGAGTGCTGGCCTGTGAATCAAAGGGTTGCCAGTTTGATTCCCAGTCTAGGGCACATGCCTCGGTTGCAGGCCACATCCCTGATAGAGGGTGTACAAGAAGCAACCACACACTCACATTTTTCTCCCTCGCTCCCCCTCTCTAAAATAAATAAATAAAATCTTTTTAAGAGAATGTGACTGTCAATGTACTCTTGGTACACATTTTTTATAGAAGACAGTGAAGACAGTATATTTCTGGTTTTGAGTCCTCTTTATCCCTCACTCCTTCCTCCTCTTCCTCTCCCCCTCTCCACCCCACCCCCAATACACAAATACACATAATACTAATCAGGATTTGTTTTAATACTTTTCCCTGGGATCATTATTAAGTATCAGTCTCTCCTACTGGTATGAAAAATTGGCCTTCTGGAAACTCTGAAGTATTTCCTAGTGTCTGACACTGCCCAGCTCCTAGTACTCATGCCAGGGATTTCCGAACTGCCTGGGGTGGCCCGCAGCCATCACTAGACCCTACGCTGCTGCAGAGGCTGCTATGAAATGTCTTCATGTGTTTTCAAGGGATTAGGTACTGGAACAAATACTGCCAGTGAAAGGGAGAATAGAAAGATTCTTCCCCTGAAGCTAAAGAAGGACTTTAGCCAGGACCCAAGATAGGTGAAGTATTGTGTTATTCTGAAGAGAGCAAATTAATCTCCCCTGACTGTTGGGAGGGTTTCTGCCAAAGGAACAACAGGAAGACCAGTCCCTACTCTGTGGTGAATAACCGGGCAACATCACTGCTGAAGTGCTGGCCAGACCCATAAATTGTACCCTTCCTCCTGGGGAGCAGTTTCTGCTGATTTGCTGCTTGTGCCTTTAAAACAAACAAACAAACAAAAAGGAAGAGGAGCAGACAGGAATTGATAAAGTTGTGGGTAAACACACAGAGCGAAGCTAGTCTTTCCATCCAGACTTTCAAAAAGGCTTAAGTAATGTAACGGTTAGCACACATGCCCAGGCTGGGCCTTACCCAAGCCATTATTAATTTTATGCTAGATCTGCTCAAACCATCACTGATTTCCCCAAATGGTTTGACAGTAACTCGGGATCACTTGATTTGGGGTTAAAAAATTCCTTTTTTGTATGTCTGTCCTTTTTTTTTTTACAAGAATGCAATGAAGTAAATGAAACAGAATTCTGGTGTTCATCAGAACACAGAGGATCCTTTCATTTTAAGACTAACGTGGCACCTTGGAGTACTTGGAGTGCTGTGTGCAGCAACATAGGATCTAGCTGCATCTCAAACTATAACATATAATGAAGACTAACCTTCCCTCTGCTTTGCCAAGTAAACCAAGCTGGTACTCCCAAGAAAGAACATGAAGATCCTTTATCTAACTCAGATGCACCTTCAGAAACACCCTGAGCAGCAGAAAAGAGCTACGGAAAAGCCACTCACCCTCTGCGTCTTCTGGCCGAGTAAGATCAATGACACCCGGGCCCAGCTTTCCATCTTCACTTGACTTTCCTGTTAACTGGGGCCCCAAATTCTCAAAGCGCGTTCTTTCCTAGAGGAAACAAAAATTAGAGGCTTATTCTAGATTCCCAAGCAGCCGCTTTTTCCTTTTAGTTTCTGTCTTGCTTACTGGGCAAAACTTGGGTTCACAAACATCATTTCTGTTCATCTTGGGCTCCAAGGATCTCTCAGGAAGAGTCCACTGAAGCCTACCACAGCCCTGACAGCGCGCACGGGTTCTGAACCGCAGTACCTGTGAGGAGAGGAAACCTGGGACAGGAAACCTGCCCGCACTGCACTGTGCGCCTTCTCTCTGTTGGATTTGCTCTAGCAGTCTAGAAGGGATGCAGCTGAGAAGTCTGAATCAAAAGTGCAAAACCCAAAAGGACGGTCCGCATTAAAACACACGTACTGCTAGTTAATGGGAGAGGCATGTTCCCACTTAGAGATCATAATTGGCACTGGTATTCCTGGGAAAATACAAGTCAGGATTTCATGCAAGAGGATTCCAAAAACAAATGTTTCAAAGCAGGCAGGCTAGATGATGGTATCGATACTATTATTTTGCCTAGGAGTTTCAACTGTAACTTCCTGGGACGTGAAAAGAAGGTATTACTTCTAGTCAGCCACTGAGTTAAGAAAGTTAAAAACTCCTGCCACCATTGGAGGGAAACCCAAAGGTGTTTTACTCATTCACCAGTTGTTCTAGAGACAGGAGCCTGAAATATCACAGTGATTCGCCCCTCCGCAGCACTCTGGATGGGTGGCAGAGGGCTCAATGACCATCATTAACTCAGCACTCTGTCTACGGAAACACAGTATGTGTCCTCTTCTTGCCTCTACTCTCCAGACTCAAACTTGGCTTTGTGTTGTGCTCATGAATGAGTGAAACCTTGTTGTTCATTACTATGAAACAATATTAAATGTCATGTCAGCTTGAATTTACAGACATGAAATAGCAGCTTGCAGCTCCGGGAATGGTTTCTGCATGTTATACTGAATGCATTATGCAGCAGGAGAGTGCCGATTGCTGTTCAGCCTATTGTTCAGTGACCTAGTTCCGTACTGAGCATGTTCGGTATTAGATGGAAACACTCTGAGTGTTCTCTTCTGTAAGATGTTTAGAAACTTGGAAATATTCTTAAGGAGCAAACATACAATTACTTGATAGAGGCTGTGTCTCATTTATACAGTCTCACTACGTTGTGCTTTCTAATATGATTATTTTTGAATATCATTATATTTCTATAATTAATTCCCATCAGTCAAATTGTGCAGGAAGTCTTCCAGTTCCCCTTCATCATGGAATATGTTGAAATCTGTGCTGGAAGAAAACACAGCATAAACCTTGTCTTATTCAAGCACCATTTCTATGAAAGGTTAGCAACAAAATTATCATCATGAATTTCCCCAACAGGGTAATGCTGACTAGTTACAATGTGGGGACACCTCTGAAGTACAACATTTATAAAAAACAGAATGGAAATAAAAAGCAAATTAGGTATGGTCCCCCAGTATCTCCTGATGTGAAAACAGTGCGGCACAAGAACAAATTAACCCGGAGGCAGACCACAGCAAAAAGCGGCCACCAGCCATGCGGGAGTTTCACACATTGTCGGAGGCAGGACAGCTGCTTTTAATCAGCCACTTTCTATTTTTGAAGTAGTACTTTCAGTTGTCCTGGTGGAAAGGAAAAGAATTAAAGATGAGTGGTACCAGGGAAAGCAAAATATTCAACCTTTGTTTTATCACATTGTTTCACATTTCAAATATTTGCATGTGAATGCTCTCCTCATGCTAAATGCAAAAGGAGTTTTCATGTGACGCCTGCAACCTACTTGGAAGAACAACCTTTAAGTGTGTTTTCATGGGGGAAAAACAACTTTCTCTGAAAATCAACAGATTGTGCTTGCTACCTATCAATATGCATATTTCAAGTTATCTGTCTAGTCATTCATTCTCTTTGATTTTACTGGAAAATACTCTCTGTAATATACTAAATAAATAAATAAATAAATAAAGTTCCTGAAAGAATATCAATATTTTGACAAGGAAGGAGAGGAGGGAAAATTACATGCCGTGGTTTGTAAAATGCTAAGACAACAAAGCTTACATGATGATAATATCTTTTCTCTTATAAAAAAATGAAGTGCACTCACAATTCAGTAGTATCAGCTTGCTTTTAATCATAACAAAAACATTCAATAACACATTCACGGTGTCTCTGAAGTCATACATTTTTCTGACTTCATTGAAAAATGATTCTTCTGCAGAGATACTTTCCTTATAAAATATCAATATTTTGCCAGAGTAGAAGTCAAGGAAGAATATTCCATGAAACACATGTTAAATAGTCAGAAACTAAATCAATGATAAAAATTCTTTTGGGCAGTGGGCTGCATTTCATATTTGGCAATATTAAGCACCTGTGTTTGAGATTAAAGATGGACCCTGCAAAGCCATGCCCTTTCATATAAATTTCTACCTAGTCTCCCAGAAGACTTCCCTCTTGTCTTCAAAGAATAGCTCAGAATATTTATTCACCAGCCTCGCAACTGTAAGATAGAAGGGCCTGATGTCCACAAGATAGCTCTGCATGGCTGGGCTAAGCAAAGGTTTTACTAGTGAGGCTGAACGTGAGCAGCGAATACAGGATGAGGACGTGGGTGCACAGAGAAGTGCAAGGATATTTTAGTTCCAGTGGGCTTCTACTTCCAGCTATTCAGTGCCAGTGGGTATGCCCCTATACGGAACAAGTATAGACTGTGGGTGGCAAGGTCTTAACTCCAAATTTTTCCATGCACTTGAACTAGCTCTCACAATGTACATAGCTCCCAGGTTAAGATATTTTGGAGATATAAGCAAAACACCTCAGTGCTAACTTAATCTCAATCCCCCATGAAAACTCCCCAGTCTTCATGTTGACAGTGAAATGTGCATTTTACAAGAAGCGATGTGATCAGACACTTATATGTTGTCAGTCACAAACATGCAGGCAACATAAAAGTTATTGAAAAAAATAAAAGTCAGCTCTGCTGTAGGACTGTTGGCTAAGTGCTTTGAAATTATGATGTATGAGTAGATGCTGCATATTAAATACAGATAGTAAATGATAAAGCCCCCTTTAGTGAGAGCTGATGAATGTTAAATGCTACAAACCCCAAGACTGAGGCATCCATCAACTTCACATATTATCAGAGTCCATGACGGGGCAGCCTCACTGATGACAGATAGACTGCTCCATTATTATCCCTATTTCCAGAGTCACTGAACAAACCAGTCAACTCCTCAGGCATTATTTCTAACTTTGCATTAAATTAGCAACTTTGCCCTCCCTGCCATGGCAAGATTGATCCATTTTGTCTTTGCATCAGGGGAGATAGAGGATGGATTTGGGATAACTAAAAGAACAGAGGTTTGTTCCCACCTAGGGAAAAAAAATCAACTTCTTCTTACTGGCAACGAATGTAAAATTGTGATGTGGGGAGAGAACGGCAATGAAACAGTAAGCACACAATAATGGCTTTTCTTTGCACTTAGATAAAAGCTGAAATTTTGATGTGCACAGTATATTTTAATAAAATTTTATATACTATGTTTTATACACTTATTGGCTATTCCATAATAATGTGTGTGCTAACAGTAAAATTGCTCTTAAATTTATGTGTGTTATTTATACGTTCCCACGTAACAATGCTTTTTGTTGTAAAAAATATTCTGTTTATTAATGTAACTTTACAACCACTGCATCCGAGATCCGTGGTAAATTAATGACATTTTTATTATTTTATAGTGTCATTAAATTTTTACTGATCACTCCATCAAACAGAGGCAGTAAAGGCCATAATGTAAACTGGGACACTTAGATCAGGCAGCAGGAAGACATTCCGTAGAGTCTGAAGAAAACTGCTAGCCATAAATGATATTTATACCATCTTTAAGCATGTTAGAATACTTGGATAAGTTTGGCAAAACTGTTTCAGTAGTTGAGTGGATTGTGTACTTAAATAACAGTTTGCTCGCCAGCCAGACAAGCCTTTTTCCGACCGTGTGGGAGATGACTGACTGCAGCCATCTCCCGGGGAACAACGCGGGTGTGTGCGCGCACCCTCCCTTCCGGAACGCCGAGGCTGGCCAGCCTCTACCACCCTGCAGAGGATTTCAACTCCGTCCCCTTTTCTATAAACTGGAGTGGAAGATGGTACATATGTGCTGGGAGAGGCTTTTTGTTTGCTGCTCTAACTAATGAGTATATTTCATTTGACAGGGAGATATGTCTGGACAATGACCTGACATTTTATTCCAATGCTCTAAATGAGAGGTGCTTTACCAACCTTCATTCAAAGCTTGTTTCTCAAGAATGTCTGAGGGTGGTGTCATTCATAATAGCCACAGAAAATGTTCCTAGGGGGCCATTCCCTACATGGTAGTTCAAATGGGTAAAAACTAATTATTTCATGTTACTTACACATGTAAAATACATTATAATTAACATACTCTACAGTGGCTCTCAAATATTCTGTTTATAGAATGTGTATATATATTACACAAATATTGTATATTTTATAAAATATATATGTGTTATGTGTTATATTTCTGTACAGTATGTAGAAGATAGTATTAATAAATAGAAAATTTTATGCTCATATAATCTCAAATTTAGAACCACATATCTCCTACATGGGGTTTCAGTATCAATCTTTTTCCAGTAAATAAGAATTTTGTTGTTGCATTCTAAAATACTAAGTCTTTAAATATTAAAGACTTTTAAAAATCTTTCAGATTTGTAATAATAAGGAGTTTTGCAGGGAAGGTTAATACTGCAGCGCCACCAGGCAAGCTTTTGTGTATTCCTGAAGCAAAGTTTTCTAAGAGAAATAACAAACACTTGCATTATGAATAAAAATTCTCTAAGGCCACCCTGACAGTCTGAGGTCTTATCTCTGCTCAAAGTTTCAGCTTTAAGTTAAGCACCACTCAAAAGGAGTTCTGTCATCTTATCCCAGCTTCGAGCTGCAGCGTCTTCCCAACCCAGGAACACCCCTTCCTACG